GCTTTTGACCATTCATGCCCCTTGCCTGTATTTTAGCAATATTGGGGGGATTACTGGTATGTTCTTGATATTCAGTGATAGCAAGTGATGAACTAAGGCCAGGGATGGGGAGACGAAAAGTACTTATAAACCTTATATCTTTCCTATTTTTTCAGCTGACAGAGGCCAAACATGCCCTCAGTATAAGTTAGAACAGTTATAGGGCTGTTTTATGTTTAAAGTCCCTGGAATTCTCTTCTAATGACCATTCTCCAGGCCCCTGATTTGGTCTTGAGGCAGAAGAGGGAGAGCAGGTGGTATAATGTTGGCTTTGCACCTCTAAGAAGTATATGGGGCAAAGGGCTCTTGCGTAGGCTCACATACTCATCAGAGTCTTAAAGTCATATGTAGATATTGAACATGAAAGGAGATTATGTCCTGTTTTAGTGGACCGATTCCCTTTATGCTGCTGCAATGTGTATATGCTTTACTGGTTGTTTGCCATCACTTCACTAGATGTTCATTCATACGAATAGAAGTTTAATGAAGTATCAGGTTCAGCATGTGCAGCCAAAGATAGGAGTAAATTTCCCAGAAGGACTTGGTGTGTTCTTCAGCACTGAATCAGCAGAAGTTATTCCTGTCTGCATTCTAACGCTTCATTTGGTAAAGAAATAAGCACTACTGCATAGACTTTTCCCTCCTCTTGTAAAGCCTGCAGAATAGTTTATGTTGTCCTCCTGTTTATTTAATGGACTTGATTCAGTGTGTAGTAATGTAGGTTTTCTTTTTTAAAACTCAGAAAATTGTCCAGAATTTTTTTAACCTAACTGTGCATAGGCACACAACACTCTGTGCCAACATTGGGTAGATGAGTCAGGAGTAATGTAAAGAGACTTAAAGGAGCTAGGGAAGATTTCTTCAGAGAAGGGACTCTGGAAGGCTGCTTAAAGAAGACCTCTTTGAAAGTCCTAGTGCGTAGTGGGTACATTTGGGGAAGAGATGAACAATGGTACATGATACAGTGCTACAGAAGTTCCACCCAGTCCTATGGCTCATGAGGCAGGCTAGGGAGGCTGCAAGATGTCAGTCAGGGCTAAATTATGAAGTTGGTTTGTTTGGCCCTGAGAGCAGTCAAAGAAAGGCTGGGTGGGAGGGTGCTAAAATAGCTGAAAACCTTTGCTGTCTTTCCCCTAAGCTGTAAGTTCCATGCTGCACCTTTTAGAAGTGTAGCACAAAACTTCTCTAAATATGCATGTGACTTATCATTGTGTGTGTTTTTTGCATTGCAACACCTACATGAGGAAAGGAAGTAGCATTTTCATGTTACAGTGGAGGCACTGTAGGGACCAGCATTTTTAGCAGTAGCCATGAATTTAGGTACTTAACTTGATACTGAGGGTACATCTAAACTTCAGGGTAGAGTTGCCTGCACTGCCCTTTCCATAAGTTAGCTCAAGTACCTACAGTAGTTGAACCAAGGCTATTTTACTGAGATGAAAAGTGATCAAGCAGAATGACTGCAGTGTAGATGCACCCTTAGGCTGCTTGCAGATGTGAAAAGGAAAAAAATCCCATGCTTTACCAGAAGTAGCTTGTTAGTTGGACTCGGTTCTGCAGTGTCGGCATAGATCGGGCACTTCAGCAGGGCTTTTTGGCACTTTTATCTAATAGCTGATTGAGTCAGCTATTAGATAAAAGTGCCAAAAAGCTCCTCTAAAATGCCTGATCTATACAGATGCTGCAGAGCCGAGTTGAATTAATGTGGTGCCTCTTCTGGGCATGTGCTGGCCTTGGTGCGGGAGCGTGCCAAGTTTAAAGTAAAACGCCATTTTTCATGTCTGCAAGCAGCCTCAATATTTTATCTTTCACAAATATGTTTATTGCAGATACTTAGCACCTCTGACAATTGCTCTTTAGTTTAGGCACTCGAAAGTAATGGATACTTTTTGTGAACAAGTCATTTCCAGTCAATATTTTCAGATTGTATAGATTTGTTTGAGTGAGGAGTAGAATAGACCTGATCTAGCTCACAGTTAAGTATGTTAACCACAGAACTATCCTCTTTACCTTCAAGTGCCCAGACATACTACTGGTAATTACTTGCCCAAGCTCTGATTAGACAGTTTGTCTAGCAGATCTACTTACTTCAGAGCAAGTTGTTATTCTGTTTATGGAAAAGATTGTTAGCCCCCTCAGACCTTGCAAACAATAGTTTGGAAAGTGGTCCAGCATCCAATTATGTGCATCATTAAAAGGTGAAGGTGATTATATCTGTATTTAAGGCTTAAAAAAAAGAGGGGGGGGAGAGAGAGAGAGAGAGCCAGAAATAGCATATTTTCAATAGAAAAATAGCAGTGCAAACTTTAGCTTTTATAAACTTTGCATTCAGGTTTTTTAACTGTATTAATTTTTCCTTCCTGTATGGACCCATGCAAGTATGATCCATATTTGGGCTTTGAACAAGTATTACAACAATGCAAATACATTACAATATTAATGTTTCATGATAGCAGTAAAAATTATGATTCTTTCAGTGTCTAAGTAGTTTACAAAAACTCTACTTTAATTGATTAAGAGGTGCTGGTGTCAGTGGATCTCAACTTTTTTAGACTCAAGGCTCCTCTCATTAGACTTGAAGCACCCTTTGGAAAATGCCAGCTCTTACATTTTACCCTTTGTTTTGACTACAGAAAAATAATAGAGCAATTCTTCTATTGCAAAGGACATAGAAAGGCAACAACAGGTTTAGACTCTTATGGCTAAGTACAGACAGTCAAAAAGCCTGAGGTTGAATTGATTCAATCTTTACAGGTTAGTCTAAGCTGTGTAGACTTAACCAATAAGCAAGTGAACAGACATTCACTTTTGATTCTGGAAATGCAGTCATATGCCTGCAGTGGCCCAGGCCAGAGGCTGGAGAGGCACTAGAGCAGGGGCAAACAATTATTTCGGGCAGAGGGCCGCTTACCCAGTTTTGGCAGGCTGTGGAGGCCTGCATGGGTAGCCCCGCCACATGACAGGTGCCGCACCCCTTGACAGGTGCCTTTCCCCCTGGTCACCATCTTGGGACCAATGTCCCAATGTCTTGGGATCAATGTCCCAGGGCCAGCACTGGTGGGTCACAAAGTGGGGTGCAGGCTGCAGGGGTCTGTGAAGCTGGGCTGGGCTGCACCAGCAGGGAGAGGGGGGAGCTGGCCCGGCTCCATAGAGCCCCTGCTGGCTGGGACCCTGTACCCCTGCCACCCTGCTCTGGGCCCCACCGGTGCTGGCCACGGGGCACCGGTACGGGCCTCATGCTCCCGCTGGCTCCTCGCCCACTCACAACCAGTACCCCCCAGCCCCCTGGTGCGCCCTGCTCCAGCCGCTTGCAGGCCGTGCGGGGCTGTCCAGAGCAGGCACAGGCAGCCCCACGCAGACTGCAAGCGGCTGCAGCATGAGGCACCAGCCACACAACGAGCGAGGGGCCACATTTCCCTGTGCTCAGCACTAGCTTGTAACCTGCCCCTGCTGCCAGCCTGGCAGTGGGGCCAAGTTTCAAGGTGGTGCTAAGCGTGGGGGGTGGGGAAGCAGCCCCATGCCTGCCCCATGTCCGGTGCCCCATGTTGCAGCTGCTCGCAGCCGGCCTGGGGCTGCCTGTGCCTGGTCTGGACAGCCCCACGCAGGCTGCGAGTGCCTGCAGCAGGGAGCGCTGGCTACGGGGTGGGCAAGGGGCTGCTTTTCTTCATGCAGGGAAGGAGCCCAGGGAAAAGCTGAGCACAGGGGGGGAAAAGCAGCCCCTCCCCCATCCCGTGGCCTGCGCCCCCTGCTACAGCTGCTTGCAGCCCATGGGGCTGTCTGGAGCAGGCACAGGCAGCCCCATGTGGGCTGCGAGCAGCTGCAGCATGAGGTGCCGGCCACGGGGCAGGGAAGGGGCCACTTTCCCCCCTCACCCTTCCCTGGCTGGGGTCCCTGCCACTTACCTGACGTTCTGGCCCGGAGCAGCCACCTGCTCCCAGGCCAGAAGCCCTGGCAGGTGCTTCCGGCTGGGGGGCGGGGCCGGGCGGGCCCCACTGTTGTTGGAGCCTGCCGGGCTTCCCCTGGGCCCTGCTGACATTTTTGACAGGAACCAAGGGCAAAGAAATATTAATTTTCTACCTTTTTTAGGGGCCCTGTGGGCCAGATAGAATGGCCTCACAGGCCGCATCTGGCCCGCGGGCTGTATTTTGCCCACCCCTGCACTAGAGCATGCTTCCCTGCTCTGCTGGAGCAGACAGCTTAGGCCAAAGCTATCCAGCCCACCCTGCAAGGGCGGGGGGAGGGGTTTGCAGGGGAGGTGCAGAGCATCCTGGGATGCTTCAGGGACTGTGAGTTAACTTGAAGGGGATCTGGGACAGAAGTTCAACAAACTGATGTAATCTAAGTCAGTGAAGTCTGATACTTCATCCATCCAGATTGATCTTAAACTGGTTTTGGCCATTTTGAATGTGGTTTATGTGCACTGAACTTCTGTTGTGTTACAGATTTGCACTGGTTTCTGATCACTTATACCAATTTATGTGTAACTTCTGTCCCTAGCCAATGTTTTTGATGCTATGGATTCCTATTTGAAATCTCCGGGTTTATCTTGCCACTCTCCTGTGTCAGTGTTTGCACACCTAACAGTGCTAATGTTGCTTGGCACTCCCTAGCCCCCTTAGAAGGCTGTCATGGCACTTTAGGGTACAGAGGTACAGAGTTCAAATTCTGTATAGGGTATATATTTATTTTAAAATCTCCGTTACTTTCCTCTGGGTACTTTTATATTGTGCATCATTTCTTATCCTGGTGATAGATGTGGGAGCCAAATGTACACTAACCTTTCACTCTTTTTGCTTGTTTGTCATTATTATCCTTTTGATTTAAAAAATGGATCTGAATATTCAAATGCACGTCTTTCAGTTATTCTCAGCTAAATTACACCTGCTTTATAAGGTATCTACTAGTCTTACGTTTTTTTAATTTGATTTCTTTTCTTCTTTCTTTGTTTTTCATCTTCGTAGGGCAACCTCGTATATATTCAAGCAGCAGAACCTGCGAATGTTCCAATGAAAAATCACCTTCCTGCAAGAGAAGATCAGCTACTAGCTCTACAAAACACAAGCGAATTTGATGTGCTAATTATAGGAGGAGGAGCAACAGGGAGTGGCTGCGCTTTAGATGCTGTTACTAGAGGTGAGCCATGGGGGCTTGAGTATATATATGTGGGGTTTTTTATTATTTAAATGTGTGTTCCTTGCTTTTGTTCTAAAATGATAATATTTTATTTTACATAGGGATGAGACAGCTGCAGCTACTATAAACATTTAATAGTTGTTCATCTTAACACAGGTTTTAAGTTGTCAGTTTAGTTTAAAATATACTGACCACATTCAGCTTGAAAGTCTTTGATTTATTTTCTCTTCCTTAATGAGAAGTTCTGTGTAGCAAGGGGGAATATAATATCCACACTCAGACGCACTCTATGGGTTTCAGAATCAGTTTCTGTTTTTTCTTTTGAAGTGTTTCTGTTTCTGTTTTTGTTGTACAATTGAAATGGATAGAAATATTACTCTTCTAATACTATTTTCATAGACTTCAGTTGGTTTATTGTTTAAAACATTGGACCAAAATCGTTTAGAACCAATTTAAAGAGAAACAACTTCCTTTGTGGTGAGAGGAGTTATTTTCTTGCTGTGGGTGGAATGTGACCCTTTGATTTTTAACCAATTCCAGAACTGGAATTGATACATTTTGATAAAGAAAAAATCATGGCGTGCTCTCTATAATTAAAAATTAACACGTAGCAATCAGCGAATCAAGCAAATAGACTAGTTACACTTGCCTTTGCCTAAGAGGCACCTAAACTTTGATTTTATGTTTCTATTGAACTCCCTTCAATTTCTGCGTTGTGTTGCGATGTGCTCATTCATAAGTACCAGAATCTCACCGTAGTTTGCTTGTTGCCATAGATGCCCTTCAATTACCTTTTTAATAGTATAGAATACAGTCAAATCTGAGAAGTTTAAGAAAAAAATGATTACAGAAAGATGATAAAGTGCAGCTGTGCAGGCTGAGCATTCCTCTGAAATAGTCAGCAGAGGCCTCAGAATCAATTAGCTGTTGGTTAAATGGACCATCTAAAAGTGAATTTTTGGGATGGTGATTGTCTCAGGAGCTGTGAAATGTCACACTTCAAGACATGTCAGTGGTTAATTCTGAATCTCTTGTAAGAGCTCATAGCTTGTCTCAAAGGGCACACACAAAAGTGACATTTGTCGTGCAATCGACCCCTTGAAAGACTCCTACAGCTGTGCCCTGACAGAAGCGCACAGATGCAGAATGCTTTAAAAGTGCATGATCACATGACAAATAAACCCTCATGTAATGAGGGTTCAGATGAAGCACTTCAAAGCAGAACAACTTCATTAACTTCTCTCTGTCCCTTCTCAGGATTGGGGCTGGGCTGCCCCTAGTGCTGTCTGTGGCAAGGGAGGAGGGGAAGGGAGCTCCAGGTTGTGGTTTACCCAGCCTGCGCTGGAAGGTGGGATGGGGGATGGCACATGGATTGGAGCTCCCGTCCCAGGTGGAGGGAGTTGTGGGGAGCTCCAATCCTCATGTCCCCCCCTCTGGCTCAGGTTGGGTAAACCCCAGCCCACAGCTACTTCCCCTCCCTTCTCCCCCTCCCTTCCTGCAGAAAGTACCAGAGCTGGAGGGAGGGTACTAGGGGAGAGAGGCTGCAGACAGACAGCTCTTCCTGGATCAGCTCCAAAATGGAGCTTGATACCCAGCAGCAGGTGTCAGTTGTGTCGGGGGATTGCCTAACTCCTGGCACTTTCTGTACAGCACCATGAGTCAGAGCACGGAGCTGCACATCTGTCGGGAGGATTCCTTTGGGTGCTGACAGAAGTGTCTGCTGTGACAGAAGTGTCACTGTGCTTGTAAGCCGTGGTCTCTTTTTCACAGTCGTGGAAATTGTGTTAGCAGGGATGGATGAAATGTTTATCGTAGAATTGTAGAAAAAGTTCGTTCGTGGAACCCTTTGGAAGTTCTGGAAAAAATGATGTAAGGATGAGCTTTGATGAAAATGTGACTAATGAGATTAACAATGTATAGGTGCACGCCTGGATAAATTGCTTATAGAACTTGCTAGATATGTTTTTTTAAAGAAATGCTTTATCTCACTTACTTTGTTTCCTACCCCTGCCCCCTCTCTGTTTCCTTTTGTCATTGTCTACCCTAGCAATATGCTTCCCATCTCCTAAACTTGAATCATTAGTGCCTTTCTCCTTTGCTATCCAAGTCTTTATCCATCATTTTCCATCCCTAATAGAAAGACAGTACTTTTGGACTTCCCATCATGATTACTTCATTTTCTTTCTCTTAACTTATTTCCTTATGGTAGGCCATAAAAATGTAGCCATTTTCTTTCTTTTTCATGATTTTCTGTTTGTGACTACTCTCCCTCTCATTCTTTGAATATTTGTTGTCATTTTTCTCCTTTAGGCTCCAACTGAATTCAGTGGTGGTGGTGGTGGAGGGAGGGGGGCACCCTCCTTTTGGCAGAGAGAAAGGTAGCTTGATATGTTAGTCTGAAGTCAGGCAGAAGGCAGGGTAGGGCAGCACCTTTGAGGTTATTCTGGTTCAGAGAGGCACAGACCTTTGTAAGTGACAGCCTAGTTTGTTAGATGCATCATTAGCATTTGAAGTAGCCTACAATGCTTGTGCCCCTCTGAACCAGTTCTCTCGAAGGTGCTGCCCTGCTCTGCTTTCTGTGTTGATTTGTGTGACCAGCATTAGAGCCTTAATTCATATTAATATTAAGATTCACATCCACCTCAAAGCATTCTATTACCGTTCTCGCCCATTATTTCACTGTCTTTATCTTTCTTGCTCAGCCCTCATTTTTCTTTGATTGTATTCGTTCTTTCTCTCACCCCTCATCTGTCATACAGCCCCTACTTGGAACCTAGATATGGTGATGCTGAGCATTGCTGGGCCTATGACCTGGCTCCTGGAGTAGAATTAACTATGCAAAGAAGGAATGCAGGAACTAGGGGGAGAGTAAGCAAGCCTCCCAGCCTCAGCCTTTTCTGTAGCCTGATGCTTATGGCCCTCTGCTGGGAGGTGAGATTGTGGTATTGATTCCCATCAGGAGCATTGAGCCAAGGTTCTCCCACTTCCTTGGTAAGTACTCTAACTTGTAGGTTTGAAAGCCTGCTGGCAATAGGACCATCACCGCTTCTTCCTCCAGTTGTGTTTTGCAAAAAATTATTAAATAGCTCAGCAGAAGCACAGATGTCAATGCTGTTGGGATGAGTTAGGCATGCTCTAAGTGTGCCTCCTGGATTGGGACCCTCAGGGGATGTAAGCAAATTTGGGATCCATGGGTGTACTTAGAAATACGCTTGCCAAGCTGGTAACTATTCTGGGCATGTCAAAATGCAACACTAGGCAACTTCCTGGTGAAAATCAATGTGCTTTACAGCCCTGTTCATGAGAGCTTTGTGAATTGCACTCATGGAATGTTAGGTGCCCACTGATCCTCACTTTAGCTTTTGTGGGTTTGGCTTTACTGCTGGCTGTTATGCTATTCCACGTGCTTATAAAGATCCACCACACAAAGACCAAACTCTCATTCATTAGAGGGGGATATGGCAGCCACACCAATATTAAAGCTGCTTAATATTTCTCATGGTGATTTCTTGTAACCATTTTAATGAAATGCTAACACTTGTCTACAGCAGGCCTTTTAAACATGGTTGGAAGAAAACCATCAGACTAGATTGGTACATTTTGTTTGTATGCTTAAATTCTGCTCAAGTTTAGCTGAGTTATAATTTATAAATTCACCAGTTTCTCTTGATTGCATTGCTTAGAAACAAATTGAGACAAAACTATTTTTCTACAATATGTACTTTGACAGCAAATTCTGTTGGATGAAGACTGCCTTGTTTAGTATAATTGTCCTATGGTACATCCACATGTATGCTGCTAACTCAGTGCTTTTAAAGCAAAAGACAAAGAGTCTCAAAAGACAGTCATAGCAGTCTGAACATGCTTTGCAATCTCTAATTTTGAGCTTCCTGGCTTGTTTGGTTCAAGTGTTAACTTTTGATGCTATGCACTTTTCTACCATTCTTGCACATAATGTAAAGTTCTACATGGCCTCAGAAAGACAAGTCTTGGAAGTGAGGGGTGAAATTCTGGACCTGTAGAGTCAATGAGAGTTTGGGGAGGTTTCAACTTGAAAATGTATGACTGCAAATAAGGTAAAGCAGTAACACGCACATCTCTTGTAGAATGACATGTTCATTTCAATCGGTAGTCTAATGTGAATTTTGTTATGCTCCTGTTTTTTATGGATAGAATCATAGAGGTAAAGCTGGAAAGGACCTCTGGAGGTTATCTAGTCCAACTCCCCGCCTTAAGCAAGATCATTCATATCCAAAACATCCCATATAAAACCTTGTCTAGCCTGTTACTAAAATTATAGTCGACCCTGCCACACACCACAGGGCATGTCACCCTAACTTGCAACAGGTAAAGCAGGGGACAACAGCGACCAATGTCCTGCTATTGCAAGCATTGTTAAAATATGCTCAAGAGATCTAAGGAAGAGGGTTATGCCCTCTGCTATAGAGGAAGTGAAAATCCCACAATCTGTACCAGTCTGACCACAGGGTAAAATTCCTTCCTGACCCCGTGGGAAATATCCATATCCAATAGGCATAGCTACTACTAGATCATCCCTGCCCAATGCTTATCCAACCTCTTCTTGAACATCTCCAATGATGGACAGTCCACAACTTCCGTAGGCAGTCTATTTCATTGCCTCATTGTTCTAGCATTCTGATATGCTACTTTCTTTCTTCTGAACCAAGGAACAAGTGTATATATTTTTGACATACTAGGCAATACCAATGCATTTTCTCCCAGCCCCGTCTTTCTGCAACAGAGTGTAGCTCTCAGTTGGGCGAATCTACAAGAGATGCTGAAGACTAATTCTACTACGCATTAGCATGGCAGGCAAAAACCATGCTAATGCACAGTAAATTTAGTGTAATGTACATTAACGTCACAGAAAAAGCATTTATCTGCGTTAATGTGCTAATGTACGGTGCATTATTACAGGTACTAACTTAATGCACCATAATTACAGTGTGTTAATGAACAGGTCATAGCAGATGCATCCAGTATTGATTTTTCCAGTCATAAGCGCTGTCTTAACAAGCCTCTATGATACCAGTCAGTTCATAGTTTATTTTACAGGCTGTGATTTCCAGCTCCTCTTGCTTGTTTCCCATATCTTTCACATTTGTATGCAGTTTGCTTTCTGCCCTGCTTGTTTTCATGTGGCTCTCTGAACCTTTCCCAGAGTTGAGCTGCTGCTTCTGGTCCATTCTTCTCTGGATTGTTTGCTCTGTTGTTGCATGGTTTTGTTCACCATCCTCTGTGGATCTTAAAGTCTTCCTTTATTGGGTTGGCCACACAATGCCTAAAGGTGCTTTTCCCCACATTTTGCTTAGATGGATCCTTTCTCTTGATAGCAGACCTTTTTCTCAGAACACCGGCCCATTGTTAAAGAATCTAAAGTTTTCCTGTTGACATCACCATCATAGCCACAATTTTATTATTATATATGATGGTCCCTGCCTGGGCCCTTACCTTCCATTGTGCCCCAATTTTCTTAATCTTCCTGCTAAGAGTCTCATAGTCTCTTCTTTTCTGCTTGGTTTCATTCTTTGCAGTATTGTTGGTGCTTACGTGGAGAAGCAGGAAAGGGTAATGGTCTGAGGGATGGATGAGCTCAGATTTCAGGCACGCTTCCAGGACCCCAAATCTGGACAAGAAATTGGTTCTTCTGTTCCCTGCAGAAGGGAGGTACCTATCACAACCACTTCCTTCTTCCTTCTCGTTGCACTAATCTTAGAGGCCCCATTCCTGGGACCATGCACTTCCTGTTCTCTGGACTTCTGGGTCCTCTGGATCCCCCATGCTGATGTCTTCACTTCTGCTTTTTCCCCAAGCTGTTCCACTGCAGAGTGTTTGAAAGCAGTTGATGATTTCAGTCTCTTCCTCTTCAGTTCCTCTTCTTCCTTCTAGTTGTCACATGTTGCCACTTCTTTTTTCCCTTTGGCCTGTCTAATGCCAACTTCTCATGGCTTCTATTGAAGAAGTCTTCATTTACCCTCATAGCACGCAGCATGGATGTCTGTGCTTCTAACCATTCAGTCTTTTCCTCCAAGATGGAAACTGCCTTCTACTTGGTGCAGATGAATTGGTCTTGATTCTCTGGGAGGAACAGGAGGATGGCACATCCCACTCAAGTAAACTTTACTGAACAGTAATTGTAATTGGTAAATCTGTGAGATCAAAGATTGTTGTTTATGACTTTGTTAGGTTGGTCGTCTGGAAAAAATTGTGTTTGTAATGTTCAGTGTACAAAGAATTCTTGCAGGTTATCTATATTTATCATTTTACTACATATTTTGATCATATCGGTAGCTTTCTGAAGTGTGAAATAATCATGAGCGTTTGGTTAATGAATTGTGTATTGTTACTGTTCATTCATGGAATTTGCTCTTTTATTATGTTTGCTGCTTCACTTAACAACAAATTTTGCTTTTTCTCTGTTTGATAAGTTTTTACCAAATTATTCCTGATTGTATCCATTAATCTTCAGTCACATTTGACAAAAATAAATTACTGTGATCTTTTGAAGTTACCAGTAATAATTTTTAAGGACATCAAGGTTTTGGGAAACTAATAGATGTTAAAAGGTTTGCATATCATTGTTCTACAAGCAGTATTATGAAGCACTGTAATGTTTTTTTAGGAGATGCAGGGTAAAGAACAGAGTACAGGGACAAATGCTAGCATTGGTTATTCTGTCCCTGGTCATGCACAGTTGCTGTTCCCAGTTTCACTTAGAATCTTATTGAATCTGCTTCCTCCTTTATTTCTGCTTTGCTTACCTAATTTCAAATGAGGAAAAAACATAAGGTCTCTATGAAAGCAACCATCTCAGGTATGCATATTGTTCCTGGAGGTTTTGAATAAGAGGCTGCCACCTTGTCTGAAATGCATTTCAGATGAACACCATCCCTTCCAAATTCATACAGCTATATGAAATAACCACACAGTGGTTAAGTTGCTTGTAGCTGCTTAGAATTTCTAGAAAGTTAAGTTAGTAGTTGCTTAACACAGCTGTCAATTAAGACACCAATTATAATATAAGTTTGGAAGACTGTGGGCCAGATGAATGACAGAGCCCATCTGCAGGCTACATCAGACCCTGGGGCCTGGCATCCTCCCCTCCCTGCCCTGTACACCAGGATTGGGCCTTAGGGACCCAGCACTGTCCCCTTCTACCTCCTGTGCTCGGGGATTGGGTTCTAGGGGCCTGGTGCCATCTCCTTTTGCCCCCTGCATGCCAGATTTGGGTCCTTGGGGGCTGGTATCACTGCCTAGCACCAGGATTTGGTTCTGAGGCCTGCTGCTGCCTCTTCTCACTCCATGCACACTGTGATTGGGTCCTGCGGGCCTGGCAGCACCCACACATGGCCCCCACAATGGGATTGGGCCTTGGGACCCAGTGCTGCCCTGCATGATACAGTGCACAGGGCCTGGTTTGAGATTTGGTAGGAAGGGAGAGATGTCACTTTTCCCTTTTTGCCAAATTTTCAGACCTGTGGGGAGCTCTGTGGGCCAGATGACACAATGATGTGGGCTGGAGTCTGAGCACCCCTGTACTATTCTACTCAGAGCTGTTTAGGCCTTAGCTGGAGTAGTCTGGGGTTTGTATTTTAGGAAGAACGTAGAAAAACTCCAGAGGCAAGTAACAAAGATAATAAAGGGGTTCAAAAGCAAGCTGTATGAACAAAGATTGAGAGACCTAGGAATGCTTAGTTTGGCAAAAAGAAGACTAAAGGGTGACAAGGTAGCCATTTAAAAAAAATATTAGGAAGGCTTGTATAAAGGAGAGAGAACAACTATTCTTCCTCACCATAGAAAGCTGAATACAAAGCAGTAGGTTTAAACTGCAGCATAGATTTGAATTGCATCCTCAGTAACCATGATGGACTCAAATTTTAATGTGAAAAATTAATCCACTTGATGTGGCCCATGCAAAACTAGTATGTCAGTTAATGCAAGAGTCCTCTGTTTTTCATCCTTTATTAACAACAGTACTTACAATAGTCATAGCATTCCTATTACTACTAATACTAGTAGCAACAATAAAAGTATTATAACTACTGTTATTATGATGCTGATGTAATTAAATATATCGTTGAAAGAGAGAAAATAGCTGAGACATCACTTGATTAAATTTGGCTTTTGGAACCTGGGTATTGCAGCTGTTCTTTAATTAACAAAAAAAAAAAAGCTGGGGTGGAGTTAGTCTATGATTTAACAGCAGTTTTGAACCTAGAATAGAATGTTTGGATTAGACAAATTACATGAGATCACATACTGAAAGTACTATGTGTTGGTCCTGAACCAGGAACAATTTCAATACTAAACGTTCGTTCTTAACTTTATACTCAGGCTAGGGACAGACATTACACACAAACTGGTTTAAGTGATCAGAAACTAGTTTAAACCTGCAACAGAACAGACATTCAGTGCACATAAACCAGTTTGAAAATGGCTGAACCTAGTTTGAGATAAAACTGGTTGAATGTAGTATCAAACTTAAACCGGTTTGACCCAAATCAGTTATGCAATGTTTGTCCCAGACCTCTTCCTGGTTTAAGTTTAAACATGAGTCCCCCAGCATCCCAGATGCTTTGCAGCCCTGGGTGGGGCTCTTTGCTTCAGAGAGCTGGACTGGCCCCTCTCATCTGCTCCCTAGCTGGAGCTCCAGCCGTGATGACAGGCACAGTAGTATCTGCCCCATCCCAGTAGTATCTGCCCCATCCCTCACCCCACCCCACTTTGCTCAAGCAGGGATTCCTCCCCTCTCCCATAGCACAGACTGTAACCAGCATGTGGTATGCTAGCTAATTCTGAGACGTGTCTGTGTAGGGCAGACAGGACAGTGTCCACGTGGGGCTTTTTGGAGTGAATCAACAGGTAGCTGGTAATATCCCTCCTCTGTTCCTTCCTTGGAAAAAAGTTGTTTAAAAAGAGCCTGAACTAATGAGAGACTTGCTTTGTTGATGGGCTGATAAATGCTGTTACCAACTCCCTGCTGGGCTGGTCAGGAGCAGGGAGGGTGGGTGGGAACCCCTCCCTAATAAGAGTGTCCTGCCAGGACCTGCCCCCCCCTACCCTGCCCCACCCCCAGCTCAGCATTGTGGAATGGAAGGGGAGGCTGCTCTAGCACTCCTCTCCCCCCAGCTTCTAGACTGAGCCACTGTAGGCATGTGCCGGCATTTCCTCAGTCCAAAGGGAATGTCTGAACGGTTACAAATCAGTTCAGCCTAGTCAGGTTAGACTAACCTACAACAATTGAATCAATTCAGGCTCAGGTTTCTTGAATGTCTGTCCCTAGCCTAAAAGTTAGGCTAAGTGAGACTAAAACCTCATTAGAGGTTTCCTACTCTTGTCTTTCATAGCTTCCTCAAACCAAAAACTCAGTATTTTCCGTGGAAAGTCTCCTGAATTGCTTTGGGAATAGACTTACATTTTTTAAGTCTGTACTAAAATCCTTAAATGTTGTAATCTTGGTTGTGACTGATTGCTTTTTTGGCTTTCGGTACCTTTCTTATTTAATCCACCTATAAGATCAGAGTAATAACAGTTGCCTACCTCGTTAGGGTATTGTGATGATTAATTTGTGAATGTTGTAGTTGGAGAGATTTACTTCTATAGAGTTTAGTATTATTAATAAGACATTATGTGGTCCTACAATGAATACAAACTTTAATTAACTCATAAGAATATAGCCTCTGTAATGTACTATAATGCCTTTCTGTTGTGATATGTCCAGATTTTAATGTGCTTCTGTTTAAGTTGTGCTTTGACTTTTCCCCTAGGAAGAGGGTAGAATCTTTTCATTACAATGTAGACAGCGTGCTGCACTTTGAATACAAATTTATCCATGTTCAGAGTAATTTTTCTTGTGATTGCCTCTACCCTAGAGAAGTGTCTTTAATGAATTACATACAAATTGTGTAATTTAAGAAGTTAATTTGGTTTTCTGGTTACACAGGACTAAAAACAGCCCTTGTAGAAAGAGATGATTTCTCATCAGGGACCAGCAGCCGGAGCACTAAATTGATCCATGGTGGAGTGAGATATCTTCAGAAGGCCATCATGAAGTTGGATTTTGAGCAGGTAATTGTTTATGCTGGTTGTTAAGCAAAAATTGCTAGTAGACTTTTATTTTTTCTTCTTCCCAATTAAATATGTATTCCCATTCTATGGTTGCTAATACTTTCTTTTGTTGCATAAAAGAGGTACTGTGCATACAAAATGGTTTCCTCAGTTAATTCTTCTAGAATGGGGAAACATGCACTGCTTTTTCTTGTTTGGGTTATATTTACAGGCAGTTGGGAATGCAGTAACTTGTATGTTGTGTAGTGTATGGGGAAAGAAGAGGGGCTGAATGATTTCAGTGTACAGTGTTTCCTTTCTTATCCTGTTGATGGGAATGGATTTGTTATGAAGGTGACAATGGGAAATGAATGGTTATATATTTTTAACCTATGCACTGAGATGGAAAGTGAGGCAAAACTGAATGTTTGTGAAAGCCCAAAAGCTTGCCTCTCCCTGTGAAATTTTTCCCTGAAAGCTTGCTAAAAATACTCAAACATGGTTGAATATTATACAGTAGAATTACATTTTACTGAATATCCCCTATTCAGCTGTCTACATCACTGCTTTATGTTAAGAACCATTTCACTCTGTTGCTTATGTGTTTGCTGCTCCCAGTGACTGATAGAGAATATAATTGTATGGATCTGATATGGATATGGATCTGAAGCAATTACTTAGATATTTTCAAAGGTAGGAATTGTTTCATACCATTTGAGTACTAATTAAAGCTAGCAGTTTAACTCATATGCAGTGGCAATAAGTAAACTTGCTGGTGGAACTTGTTCTGCACCTGAAAGATAAAGATTTTGATTTTCTTATTTGGGAAGTTCTAAAACAAATTCTTCAAATAATGTCATTGCAATATTGAAAAAGTAGTAGAGAGTGCATAATAAACTACCACAGTAAAAGGCTCCTAATATGTAGTTTATGCAACAACTAGCACAGTTGTTTTATCACCTCGCACTTGTTAAGGTAAAAATCCTGAATTATTAGTTTTATTTTGTTTTTAGTACAAGATGGTAAAAGAGGCACTTCATGAGCGTGCCAATTTGCTTGAGATCGCTCCTCATCTGTCCTCTCCTTTACCTATAATGCTTCCTGTTTACAAGTAAGTCCCTCAATTTTCTTTCTGTTGCAGTTTCTTAGAGCTTTTCTTGACAAAAGCAATGTTTTTTCACTAGAGGAGTTTTTTTTATTATGCCTTTTTCTTAGTATGCTTTTAACCTGTCAGAAGCCTTGTCTCCTAAGTGAGAATTCTGTTGTTGGGTTGCGGACGTGTGATGTTTTTGTATAGCACCACCAGTTAATGTTCTTGTGTCCTTCTCAGACTCAAGTACCTTCTAGGCAATAAAAATGCATTCTAAGGTGAAGCTTGATTCCTAAGATATTACATAATATTTTGAAATTAAATCAATTTGTAAAGAGGAGCGTTCCCTTCTAAGTCGTGTGTGTGTGTGTGCGCGCACGCATACACATGCACATAGGGTTGGAGGGGAAAGGAGGATGTTAGTGACCCTCACCTTTACACTCTGTCAGCAGCAAAGCCATCCACAACCTTCTGAGTTCTTCTGCAATGGCCAGAGCCAGAGTAAAGGAAGATGCTCATAGATTCATAGATGTTAGGGTCGGAAGGGACCTCAATAGATCATCGAGTCCAACCCCCTGCATAGGCAGGAAAGAGGGCTGGGTCTAGATGACCCCAGCTAGATGCCCATCCAACCTTCTCCCGAAGGTGCAACTATCACGGGCACAAAAGACACCAAGAAAAGGTTTTTTTAAAGAATTTAGAAGTAAGAGGAAGATGGGGAAGTTGTAGATCCATTAATGGGGAAAGAAGAAGAAACAATGGATAATGCAGAGAAGGCTGAAGTTTTTAGTGCTGCCCTTAATTCAGTCATTGTAAAAGAAGTAAATTGTAACCAGATACTTAACACAATTAATTTTGACAAGGAAATAGGAGAGCGGGCCAGAAGAGGGAAATAACAAGCTGAAGAATATTTTAGATAAGTTTGATGTATTTAAGTCATCAGGGCCTAATGAAATTCACTCGAGTTCTTAAGGAACTAGCTGAAGCAATCTCTGAATCATTAACAATTTATTTTTGAAAACTTATGATGATGAGGGAAATCCTGGGGGACTGGTAAAGGGCAAACAGAGGACCTATCTCTTTAATAGTGGGGAAAAGGAAGACCCAGAGGGTTATAGACAGCTCAGCCTTATTTAGACAACTCAGGAAGACTGATCAATGGTTGATCAATGAATCAATTGATTTGATCAGTCAGTTGAATTGATCAATGATTGATTGGTCAATCTATTCATTAGTCTCTAGAATATGGTGAAGTAATTAAAATAATCAGTGTGAAATTGGTGAGAACTTGTTATGTTAAATGAGCCCAGTTTTCTTGACTGGATAACTGGCCTGTTAGGTAAGCGACTAGTAGTTGATGTGATATATTTTAAGTTTTTGATGAAAATAAAGCCGTGCTTTACTTTAAACTCTGTGCACTCGTGCACCCAGCCCAGTGTGTGTCCAGTAGAGGCAACATGTTTGTTGGACCTGGCTCACCTAATGTCTGTATAGATTGGGCACTTTAGTGGGGCTTTTTTGGCTGTTTTATCTAATAGATGATTGACTCAGCTTTAGCTAAAAGTGCCAAAAAGCCCCGCTGAAGTGCCCAATCTGTACAGATGCTACAGAGCTGGGTTGAAGTAAAGCGCTGCTACTTCCGGTAAAGCGTGGTGAGTTTTTTTTGGTTTGTTTTTTAACATCTGCAAGTAGCCCATGTGCTGGATGCTGACTGGGAAAATGAGGAAGAAGTAATTATAGTTCACTATCAAGGTGGGAGAGTATTTCAAGTAGGGTCTGATGAGTCTGTTTTGGGTTTGGTTTTATTTACTATTTCATTCATTTAGATGATGATGGAGTAGAGAGTATTTATAATTTCTGTGGACCATACAAAACTGTGAGGTTTCAGGTACTCGGGAGAATGGGATTAGAATTCAAAATGATCTTGAGGTATTGAAGAGAAAATCTGAAATGAGCAAGACAAAATTCAGTAAAAAATAGGAAGGAGAAATCTAATGTATGAATAAGGGATTACTTGCTAGGCAGCAATTTTAGAGAAAAGGAATATAGTGGGTCACAATTCTAATGAGTCAACATTGTGATCTTGTTAAAAAAATAAATAAAATAAAAAAAGATATCTCAGAATGAGGATAACTCAACACAAGGGGTAATTATTTCTCTTTACCCAGTGCAATTGAGGCAGCACACTTCAAGAAAGATGAAAACAAGTGGTAGAAGCAAGAAGAAGAGTCTTAGAATACCTGTAAGGAACCTTTCTGTAAGGAAGGGTTGAATGAATTGGGGTTCTTAAGTTAAGAAAAGAGAAGGCTGGGGGAAGGCAGAAAGAACCCCCAACTTCCTGTAGCCCACCAAAGTACTGGCAGGCAGAATGGAATGGTTCTGTGAGATGCATTCAGCTGGCAGGCTATATGTTTGACACACTTGGGTTAGATCATAGGAAAACATATCCTTAAAATTAAAAATATATGCACGGAAATAGGTTACTCAAGATTCTATATCTGTCACTGGAGGTTTTAAAGAACAGTTTAGAGAAAGATCTGTCAAGAGCCATCTTGGTATACTTGATCCAGCCTCTGCCTAGACTGTCTCACAGACATGTCCATTCCAACATTTCTGATCATATTAGCATAGGAGGGTTTAAGGTCAGGAACCTGAACTCAGGGAACTCTAACCCCCTCTGCATTGATTCCCATACTTGGACTCCTTTTCTTGAAATCATGTTGAAGGTGTATAGAATACTTATTCAGTCCCTATTCTAAAATAGCTAAGGCCCAAAGTATGCTTGCACTTAATGGTTCTCTATTCACAGTGGAAAAAGTTGTCAGTTAGGTTAAATAAAATTAAGCATGTGTGTAGGCCTCTGCAGGGCTGTGTGGGTTTGGAAAAAAAACCCAAGAAAAGAAAAGCTAGGAACAGGAAAGCATAAAAGTGAAAGGAAGAGCAACACTGGTAAGGACTGAGGAAAAAAGATAGGAAAAAGATGAACGAAAATCAGTGAAGATACAGATGTTGGATGAAGGGTCAAGTATGCATTTTTCTTTGCCTTGTGGTCAACAAGCAACCTTTAGAGCAGTGTTTTTCAACCTTTTTTCATTTGTGGAACCCTAAACAATTTCGAATGGAGATGCAGACCCTTTTGGAAATTTCAAATGGAGGGCGGACTCCTTTGAATTGTAACTGTGAGTATTTGCATATTTTTGATTGACCAATGTCATAGTCTTCTTTTGTGGACCCCTAGACATAGTCTGTGGATTCCCAGGGGTCTGCGGACCGCAGATTGAAAACCATTGTTTTAGAGAAACTAAGGCTGCTTGTAATTATTTAAAAAAAAAACAAACAAAACACCCCCCCCCCCCCCATGCTTTACTGGAAGAAGCAGCAATTAGAGTCAATCTGCTATTAGATAGAAGCACCAAAAAAACCCACTAAAGCACCCGATCTATATAGACATTGGGTGAGCTGGGTCCAACTAATGTGCTGCCTCTTCAGGCCATGGTCTGGGCTTGGCACGGGAGTATGCAGAGTTTAAAGTGATTTTTTTGCGGGGGGGTTATTTTTTTTTTAATGTCTGCAAGAGTCTGAGGGATTTCCTAACCATTCAATCTGCCAGACTTCTGTGGATGACAATAAGAACTTTGTTTGATTAAGGAGTATAGTTCCAGATCCTTAATTTGAACTAACTTATATGTTTTGTTATCACAAAGCTTTTTGGGTGCCTGTAGATGTGTGGGGGCGCTGCTCTGATGCGCTGTCATTACAGCATGTCGGAGCACAAACATTGCAGGTGCTTTAATTAGAGCAGCTCTCAGAACTGTTCTAATTAAAGCCCTCCCCCACCCCGGGCATGTGTAAAAACACCCTGTAAGCTGTTCCTGAATACATTCATTTCTAGTGATGAACATTCTTTTTACGCAAGACCTTTTTTAGTTTGTTTTTTTTTTTTAGTAATGCTGAAGTTTTGATTCTATAGCTGATACAGATTCAAATTTGAGAGAAATCATTATGGGGTATCATTAAAATGAGGTAAATCGTTATATACTGATATCCAGAAGCTATAGTTGTTAGGGCTGTGTGAAGCGCTTCAGTCACCGATTTGATTCGGAAGAGATTCGGCCCGATTTGGCAGCCGAATCTCCTAATCCGAATCGAATCAGGAGACCCATTAACCTCTCTGAATCAAATCGGAAGCCTCCGATTCGATTTGGAGAGATTTGACGATTTGGACATAGACACAGCTTTATATGTTTTTTCTACAAACCTCAAGGTACCAGATGGCTCGTGAATGTTGAGATGGTGGGGCAGATAGAGCATCCCACAGGAGCATGGGGGGGTGCCCAGCATGCTCAGTGGCAGACCCAGAAGTGGACCAGAAGCACTTCCGGTGGTCCCCTGTGCATTTGGCAGCGGGCCCGGATGTGGACTGGAAGTACTTCTGGTCCACTTCCAGGTCCTCCGTCAAGCATGTGGGGGGGCCCCTCCATGCTCCTGTGGGATGCTCCACCTGCCCCACCATCTCAGCGTTCATGAGCCACACCTGATACTTCGAGGTATGTAGAAAAAACATATAAAGCTGTGTCTGTGCCTGAATCAGAGTTGAATCTTCAGATTCGGATTCAGCTGACACAAATCAAGACAGTAATCCAAATCAGCGAATTGAATTGCTGTCCCCTGAATTGGGCTGAATCCAAATCTAATATGGCCCAATTCGCACACCCCTAATAGTTATAGGTACATTTGGAATGCATTTCCCAGCCATGCTTCTGCAAGCTTTAAAATCTTTTCCCTTTTTTCTCCAGGAAGTCTTGAGTTCATTTTTAGATTGTAAACATTATATATTTATGCAGAATAAGAAGAAATTCAATGCATCATGTTAATTGTATGCAGAAATCTATTTTAAATAAAACTTGTAATGATTTTAATTTTTTTTCTGAATGGAATTTCTTCTTATTTTCTGCAGGTGGTGGCAGTTACCATATTACTGGGTGGGAATAAAACTCTATGACCTCGTAGCAGGAAGTCAGTGTCTGAAAAGCAGCTATGTCCTCAGCAAATCAAGAGCCTTGGAACTTTTTCCAATGTTACAGAAAGACAGGCTTGTAGGAGCTATTGTCTACTATGATGGTATGTTCCTTTTTAATGATTTTTAAACCCATCTTTTTATGGTTCTTGATGTCCTTACTCAGTCCTACCTAGTTCTAAGTAATAACATATGTTTTCATGTGTGTACAAAAACAAAACAAACAAACAAACAAAAAAAAACAAAAAAACCCCCACAAAACAACCAACCAACCAAACAAACAAACAATTTCATACTAAGGAATGTAACTTAAAGGATCTACCTTGCATCCTGCATAATTTCTGTTGGCTAAATTTAATTGTATGACTAAACCCAGTTCACTGGCCTCATGTGTTTAGCTGGTTTGATGCTGGCCTCCGTAATACATTTGGTGTGTATAAATGAGAGAACTTGTTCTGCACTGTCAGCTGAAGCTAGTAGATGCAGCAACATATGTGAAAGTATTTTTCATGCTCTGGTGACTCCCTATGGGGAGTCTTGGTGACTTCTACAGGCACGTATAATTCTGTCATACTAGAACAGCTCCTTCTGTGCTGGATTGATGTAAAACAGTTTCTAAACACATAGTATCCATGGTGCTTCTGTCGTTTTTCCATAAGCATCACACTCCCCTGAAAGAACCTGCATAATACAAATGTTTCCTAACTGGTTAATATCCTGAATATTAAGGCAGGCATCTGAACACTGTTTCAACAAGACCTAGTTGTTCAGAAGTAATCAAAGGGTCAGATCCTTTCTTTAGAATATCCTTAGAAAAAATCTATGATCTCAGCTTGACCACTGTTCCTAAAGTAGTGCACATCAAGGGGACATTGTTATGTTAATGATCTTAAATAGCTAACTATGCCACTTCCATTTTTAAAAGAATAATTCAAAACTCATGATATGAGTTCCTGTTTGTGGTTCTTATGTTTGGGTTTGGTTTGGTTCAGTTCATCAATCACTTTCTTTTATGGCTCCTACCATCCTCTCTCATTTCAATTGTTCACTCTGTAGATGGAACTCTCATTGCAAATACAATTAAGTAACACGAGCAGCTATCAGGCTTGGGTAGTTTCCATTGGAAACCTCTATTTTAAAGGGTTATAAATCCATAAGAAAATCGCCTCTGGGCTGAAGCTTGATACAAATTTAATCTACCCAAAACTATGTCCTGTGGAGTATATTCATGTATAAAACACTTAAACAAAATCAGTGACTGGGTTATAGATGGAGAGAATGAAGATGTCTGCACATCTGTGGTACTTTAAAAAAAAAAATGAAATTTTGCAATTGAAAGTTCAAATGTACACCAATTTAGGTTGTATGTAGGCATTTTTATATAAATACTTACTGTGTTTTTAAAAAAATGAGCAAAAGTGCTTTAAAAACTTCTGAATGTTGTGGATATTGATCATTCACACTTGGAATAGATTTAACATTCATATGATTACCAGAACAGTTTGGGGGTTTTTATTTCATTAAGTGTTCGCTGCTCATGGCATGTAAAATATTTAGTGACTTTTATGATTTCTAAAATGCAACGGCCTACATTATTTATACTGGTAAGATTTTTATATGTGACTTGTCTCATTGATGTTGATTTGGTAGGATTAGCTTCATGCATATGTTCTCATCAGTTGAGTCAGAGTTGTATAGTTTAGAACAAGGTATGTGTGTGTACGTGACCTTACTGTTATTACACAAGATATGATACCCTGCCCCCTGTCCCTGGCAAGGCCTGGAAAAGGAAAAAAACCCTGTAGCTATCTCACTTTGAATGTAAATAACATTTGGGGTGGCTAGACTCCAGTCCAGTTGCATACATCTTCCCTTCCCTGTATTCTCACAAAAGCCTTGAGGACAAGCCATACATGATATTATTGATTAGCTATTGCTGTAAGTTGCACTGTTCAGGAAGAACATTTACAAAGAATCTCTTTTTAGGGCATGGAGATAGCTACATTATACCCAAATTGTAGTAGTTTGGTTCCAACCACAGGGATTGCGCCGTGCAGTTATCTAGGCATAAGATCTTAATGGCCAAAATAATTATAGTGAGGTGTGAATCTAAATAAAATTGGCTGATACTTTACCCAACATATTTATTACCAACATATTATTTAAGGCAAATAAGTGACATTATTTGCCTTGGAATCCACAAATAGCCAGGAAACCAAAAGTGCCTACCATGTAAGACAATCCTAGATAAAATGGACAAATGTACTCCACATGGGTTGCGTAAACCACCTCTGCCAGGCTAGAACATCTGCTCTTGACATTCGACATCCCCATATCATCTTTGGGCTACTGACCATTTCAGTATACAGGAGTCTAAAAATTCCCCACTTGATCAAACTAACTTTGAAGGATAGGGGTCCAGTTTGCAAGTCAGAGTCTAGATATCTTCAGCTGCTTTGGAGCTTTAGCTGCTGATACTGATAGAAACTCACCAAGTGAGGATGTTGCATGTATCATTTCCTGACACATTATTGCTGGTAGTTGCATTGGAAACTAATTTCTCCTTTAGAAGAGAAAACATTTTACAGTAAGAAAGATACGATTCCAAATGCATTTAGCTATAACATACTAAACTATACATTCATAGAAACAAGTCTTCATGAGCTCTCCAATTCACATGGAGCTTTAAGAATCTTCTGCATTGTTCTCTGTCCATCACCACATGAGCTAAGGAGCTTGTGATGCCAGAGATGATAACTTTCTCTGCCATGTGTTCATATAGCCATCCCATAGCAGCATTAGTCAGGCCTGTCAGCCACTATATTGTGGTCATCCGAGGAATGCAGGTGCCACAGCAAAACTTGCAATTAAAGACTCCTTAACACAAGACTTTTTTTTTCATTTGAAGATAATTAAGGAGTTCTGAAGTGAAATGAACAAGTACATCCTCCTAGAAACTCAAGACTTTTTTCTTGGAAATTTAAATTAGGTATGTTTCAAAATATTAGTCTGTTTCATTAATCCAAGGGTGCCTTGAGTTTTATTGAAACTTCTACCACTTTGAAAATCCTTTCTACAGTGCATCTTCAAACCATCCCTAGCTATGCTTGTGTCTAGATTGATAGGTGATTACTTAAAAGTGCTCAAATTAAAAACAAAAATGCTGAATACACATGCAAATGCAACATGGAAGTTCAAGGCTCGAGTTGGAGTGTAACATCTGGATCCAGGAGGGTCTCCATTTAACTACTTCCTTAGTGTATCCTGTTGTGTCAGCATACTAAAGGACAGTCTTGACTGACTTTACTTGCTTGTATAAGACCCATAATGATGTGTCTTTATAGATTTTTAGTATGTGATGCTATACATTTGGACAATTTCATATCTTTTTTTCCTATTGTAAGTAAGGGTACTTTTACATAAAAGATTTCCTGTGACTTTCATGGCCAGCATGGCAGCCTGACAAACCATATGTGGAACAGTTATGTAAAAGCCACACATCCCTTTTAGGCATGGAGGCATCCTGCTAAGAAGAAATATTATAAACACTTATTTGCCTTTAAAAGTTATGCTTTTATTTTATTGATTGATTGATTTAAAAGCTGGAAATGTAGTTTCTTAGCTCTAATCTGCCAGCCTGAAATTTCTTCCTCCCAATATTTCACTAGAAAAGGGGTTTCTCTTTCTTGTTAGAATGAATTTCATCAGAATTTATAAAAATTTATTTGTACAGATACTCAAAGGGGAAAAATAAGGACACACTTTTTAACCCAGTTGAAATGCATTGGGTACAGGAAGGTGACTTTGGGAAGTACACAGTGGGAAAAATCAGCAAGCATGTAAATTAGATGTTCCCCTTGAGAAGGATGAAGTAGCAAATATCTACATTCTAACAATCAGGAGAAATGTGCAACTGTTAAAAGGAGAGAAATTAATTTTTGTTTCTCTTCTCCACATTCTGGTATTAAGCTCTAGCAGAGCTAATGAATGTATGTCTCAAAAGGACCACTGGAAGCTATATATTGTCTAGGTACTTAATCACCTAGAAGATATTGAGGCAATATTTGTTGTGGACTTATGGCAAGTGAGTTCTGAAAACAGTACTTAGTATAAGGAAGTTGCATAGTATTCTAGTCAGAAATCTTTTGAAGCGTGCAAATCAATAAATGTATGTCATTCTGTTGTTTTATTATTAGATGTTTATCATTAGGTGTTTTGACATGCAAACACAATTTAAATACATCTCTGCAAAAAGCTCGATAGGATAATATGGCCCTGAAACAAAAGTGTATGCCATTTTCTTTAACATCAACTTCCATTCATCAAATTCCTGCTTATACTTGAGGTTATTATATTTTAGTACAAATTCTGCTCTTTAGTTGCTTGTATCAAGCCTACTTGTTTCTGAGACGGCTGCACAGAGAATCAGGGAAGTTTAGGCCGATTATGTCCTCCTGTTTGAGAACTGAGTGGCGAATGGAGAGAAAAGGATGACTAAAGGATATAATAGTAAATTACACTTTCTATCCTAGAAGAGTGGAAGGAATTCAGAGACTTGGAGCCACAATTCCTCCATGGGACTCCATCTGTTAAGGTGGCACAGTTTAAGCCACTTCATTCTTTGGGCATTGAGCAAAGCCTCATTCTGGTCTGTCAACAGTGTCCTGTGTGTACCTCATGGCAGGAATAAGGCCTAAGTCCCCACCAGTCAATAACTAAAGCTCACCCACCAGTGTATGTCTGCCTAAAATATAAGCATATTTTCAGTACCATTAAAAAAAAAAAAATCTATCTTCCCAGTGATTAGTATATTTTTATATGGCTGAAAGTAAATACATTTGTATTAAATATTCTTGGTTTTTGATAGTAAGCATCATCAAAGGCCTCAGTCCAACCAATATTAAAAAGAAACGCATCCATCTTATGTGGGCTAAAAAAGACCTTACCATCTATGGTATTTTCCTTTTTTAAGGAGTATTTTTTTAAAGAACATGTGTGTATACATATCTATATCTATAAAACCCCCAAGGCCTACAATTGAAGTAATATTTTGGAAAATATGTTTCTGAAAGTTTCCTTGGTTGACTTACAGCAGGGCTTTCCA